TTCTGCACAGCAAAGAAAACAATCAATCAACAAAGTGTAGAGACAACCCACAGAATGGGGGAAGGTATTTTAAAACTATCTGACAAGGGACTAATTACCAGAATATTTAAGGATCTCAAATAACTCCATAGAAAAAAAATCTCATAATCTGAATTTTAAAATGGGCAAAATATCTGAATGGATATTTCTCAAAAGAGGACACATTAGCCAGGCATTGTGACATGTGACTGCAGTTTCAGTTATTTCGGAGGCTTAGGTGTGAAAATTACCTGAGCCTGGGAGGTCGAAGCTGGAGTGAGCTGTGATTGTGCCACTGCACTCCAACCTGAGTAACAAAGTGAGACCCTGTTTCAAAACTAAGAAGGGAATACAAATAGCAGATAGGTATATAAAAAGATACTCATCGTCAATATCATTGATATTCAGAGAAATGCAAATCAAAATTTCAATTAGAGATCATCTCACCCCACTTAAGATAGCTTCTATTTAAAAGACATTGAATAACAAATGCTGGCAAGGATGTAGAGTAAAGACAAACCTTGTACACTGTTAGTGGGAATGTAATTTAAGTATAACCACTATCGAGAACAGTTTGGAGGTCCTCAGAACTAAAAACAGAACTACCATATGATCCAGCAATCCCCCTGCTGGGTATATACACAAAAGAAAGGAAATCAGTATATTAGAGATACCTGCACTCATGTGTGTTGCAGCACTATTCACAACAGCCAAGATTTGGAAGCATTCCAGGTGTTCATCAACAGATGACTGGCTAAAGAAAATGGTACATATACACAGTGGAGCACTATTCAACCATGAAGGAGAATGAGATCCTGTTATTTGCAACAATGTGGATGGAAATGTTGAGTGAAAAAAGCCAGACACAGAAAGAAAAACGTCACATATTCTCATTTATTTGCGGTAGCTAAAAATTGAAACAATTTAAGTTGTGAAGATACAGAGTAGGAGAACTGTTAGCAAAGGCTGATAAAAGTAGTATAGGGGATGAAGAGTAAGGGGTAATGGTTAATAGGTGCACACATAGAGTTAGAATAAATAAGATCTAGTATTTGATAGCACAACAGGGTGACAACAGCTAAGAATTATTTAATTGTACATTTTACAGTAACTAAAAGAGTATCATTGAATTGTTTGTAAAACAAAAGATAGATGCTTGGGATATGATGGATACTTCATTTGCCCTGATGAGATTATAACACATTGTAGGCCTGTATCAAAATATTTTATATGCCACATAAAATATACACCTATAATATACCCCCAAAAACCTTTTTTTAAAGAGATTTTCATTCAGAATTACCACACTGTATACTTACAGCTGAATTGAGGATTCTTGTGACTAAAAAGAAACTGACTAGTGATGATTGGTTGCTTTTGAAATGGCTGCTAAATTACCACTTTGCTAATAGTGGAAACTGAGTTGTCATGGTGATATTGCTAGTAGCCATTTTAGCAAAGTATGTAACAGAAAATGAATTTAAAACAAATAGAAGTACTTTGAAAGTTGCAGAAGCTAAAGTGCCCTTAATCTCTACTGTCATCAGTCTGTAAACTGGTTTCTTGAAGGGAGCAAAATTTGTCATTATGAACACTTAGCTCTACTGTAATGGCTGCCAAATTGTTCTCAAAGCCTGCAGCTAATCTGGTGGGGCTCTAGTTCTAGTTACAAGGTCAGAGAATACGCAGGGAAATGTGCAGTTTTCCACAGATGTGAGCTCCAGAAGCAGTGGTGACAGAGGCCAGCTCCAGTTCTACACAATGGTGTTTGTGAACACAGAAGCACCAGGAGCTATGGTCTGAACAGGAGCTATGTTTGTGATCTTTGGAAATTGAAAAACATTACAACAAAGCATTGAATGGACATTTATCTTGTCCCTCTGCTGTCGATTATTTATAATCATCTCTTTTTGACTGTAAATTGAACCATTTAATAATTAGTGTCTATCAGATTTTCCTTCAAACTTCTCAACATCTGTTTGTTGTGTTAGAATATATTTTCCTTCAGAAACATCACTAATTATCAGGGAAATGCAAATTAAAACCACAGTGTGATACTACCTTATTCCTGCAAGAATGGCCATGATTAAAAAATCAAAAAATCATATATGTTGGTATGGATTTGGTGAAAAGAGAACACTTACACTGCTGATGGGAATGTAAACTAGTACAACCACTGTGGAAAACAGTACTGCCATTCAACCCAACAATCTCACACTGGTGGGTATCTTCCCAAAGGAAAAGAAGTCATGAAAAAGACACATGCACATGCATGTTGATAGCAGCACAATTTGCAATTGCAAAAATATGGAACCAGCCTCAATGTCCATCAATTAATTGGTAGATAAAGAAAATGTGGAATATGTATACCATGGAATACTGCTGAGCCATAACACAGAATGAAATAATGGCCCTGACAGCAACCTGAATGGAGCTGGAGGCTATTATTGTAAGTGAAGTAACTCAGGAATGGAAAGCAAAGTATCATAAGTTCTCACTTATAGGTGGGAACTAAGCTATGAGGATTTTATACATACATACACACACACACACACACACACACACACACATATACATATATGTAAGTTAAACCGAGCAGCTTCTATTCAGAAAATTTGCTGTGCCTGTAAAGGGTAGGCTATCCAGCCATTAAAAAAAGAGAGAGAGAGAGAGAGAGATGCATATCCTGTAGGCATAGTTAGAATATTTTTATGGAAAAACACAAAAGATTATGAAGTGCATATATTCCTATAGTAAATTAAGTACTGATTAACTGATTGTTAAAGCATTATCTGATTTACATTCCTATAGCCTTATGGTTATATGAATAGGAAATTAATGTTGGAAGTAGTTTCAGCTGGGTTTTCAGTTAAACAAACGAGAAACCCACGTATCTGCTTATATCCTAACTGCTTTCCATACTGAAGAACATCAGGCATTTGTTGACTTAGCCAGTGGATAAAACCCAAAACTTTAAAACCAAGAAACACAAATATGTTGTTGAGGTATTGTTTTTATACAATTAAGTTTTTACAGAGATTACTGTGAAAGTGGTACACTTACTCTAGTTTTATATTTATTTAAACATTTGACAAAGTGCTGCATATAGTGGCTCATGTCTATAATATAGCACTTTGGGAGGCCAAGGTAGGATTATCACTTGATCACAGGAGTTTTACCAGCCTGGGCAAAAAGTGAGACCCTCTCTCTACAAAAATAATTGTTTTTAAAATAGCCCAGCTAAGGGGCATGAGCCTGTGGTCCCAGCTACTTGAAAGGCTTAGGTGCATGGGTCACTTGATCCTGGGAGGTTGAGTCTGCTGTGAGCTAGGATCATGCCACTGCACTTTAGCCTGGGTGACAGAGCAAGACTCTGTCTCAAAAAAAAATTTTTTTTTGGTCAGGACAGCTGAATAATCATGTGGCAGAGGGCTGCTCCCAGCCTCTTCCCCTCTCAGTGCATTCAACTCATCCCCACAGTCTGTTCTTGCCAGGGGTGACAGATGCTGAGCACCTTGAGGTTTCATTTCTAACCCAACTCAGGAGAAACACTGTGTAAGGCTGGCACCCTACCAGAAGGCATCTCACAAAATGGGTTTAGTCTAGCCAAGATGTCTCTCTCTGATCTTTCTACCAATTGAAATGTAAAGAGTATTCTTGCCCTGTAGTAAGGACAGCTAATAAATGGCATCCATCATTTCTGTCATCAGATTCCTATTATGGTGCCTTGGGAGTGAGCATGAAGTCTGATTTGTGCAATGGAACCCTCAAGAATGATCCCTGAGTCAGGTGCATAAGTGCAGAGGAGACTGTCACCTTTCTCCTCATCCCAAACTTGGGGTGCTGGATGCAGAATGGACTGCAAGCAGCTGTGCCCTGTTTGGACATTAGCATAAGAACCCACCTGCATAGCCTGTATTTGTTTCAAAACAGCATTTGGAGCCATTCTAGTAGCTGAGTGTTACTATTTTTAAATAAATAGGGAAAAATTTTATGAATTGATTTAAAACAAAAAAACTGGCTATTAAATTCATTTAGTATTGTTCAAGGAGTATCTACAAAATTTTATCCTCAATGCTTTCTTGCAAAAGAAGTGGAAGTAACTACAGAGACCCTTTCAAATAAAGAATCACTGAGAAATGTAAATAGTATAATATTTACTTATGTACATTTTTAAAGATTATACCATAACCGATTTGCATCAAGCTTTCCAATTTAGGAATGCTGAGAGGATTTCCCTCTAGGGCAAGTTTTCACATAAATGTTGAAGAAATTGTTAAAACTGAAAACTTTTCTATATTTGATAATCTACTGTGGTTCCAATCCATTGTGCTTCTTGTATTTATAAGGTCTATCTACAGGGTGTGTTATCATGGGTCTTGGGGTAAGTATCATGTAAATGAAGGCATTTCTACATTCTATACATTCATAGGTTTTGTTTCAGAAATGAGTTCTTATCTTCATGTGGAACTGGAACAACTGAAGACCTTACCACATGCTTGTATGTAATAAGGATTTTCTCCATTGAATCCTTTCATGTTTTCAAAGAAATGAAGCAGCTGAAGGCTTTACCGTGTTTTTTAAAATTATGTCATTTTTCTCCATGTTAAATTTGAATATGTCTTTGAAAGGATGTGGGAAAATCAAATGTATTAACATATTTTTTTAATCCTTGTTTTTTTCCAATACAAGATTTTTCTATTTTCAAAGAGAGCTGGGAAAGTTGCATGCTTTCTTGTATTTCTTCCATCGATAGGGTTCTGTCCAGTGTGAGTTCTTTCATGTGTTCTAATAAACTAGAGCGTGGGATGGCTTTACCACATTTCTTACATGAGAACAAGGTTTTTGGAGATAGTCCAGTGAACTAACATTGTCTTGTGTTGGTTTTGTTGTTTCTCCTTCCCCAGGAATGAGTTGGAAAGGCAATTCTTGAAGCTAATTAGTTACAATATCAAAGTTTCTGTCAGCATTTACACCAAATACTACTTTGATCTTCGCACTTTGGCACATGACCACGGCCTGCATTTGCCTGTTTCTCTTCTTGACAAAGAAAGAGCATGGAAGCTGGAGGTAAGACTATGAAGTTACTAAGTGGATTTGCAGTCAGCAGTGCCAACATCTGTGACTAAATCATATTAAGTTGTGATTAGAAAAATGGAAAGCTTCAGCCCAGTGCAGTGGCTCATGCCCGTAATCCCAGCACTTTGGGAGGCTGAGGTGGGTGGATCACGTGAGGTTGGAAGTTCGAGACTAGGCTGACCAACATAAAGAAACACTGTCTTTACTACAAATACAAAATTAGCTGGGTGTGGTGATGCATACCTGTAAGCCCAGTTACTCAGGAGGCTGAGGCAGGAGAATTGCTTGAACCCTAGAGGTGGAGGTTTCAGTGAGCTGAGATTGCACTATTGCACTTTAGCCTGAGTAGCAGGAGTGAAATAAAAAAGATTTAAAAAGCAAAAAATGGAAAGTTTCAAAATTAACTAATACACTGAACAGTTTGTTAACCTTTTGACATTCTATTTCCTGTCTCTTATGGTTTTTACAAGGATCTATGTTATTTGAAAATTATAGATATTATCTCTTCTGTGACCATAATTAATAATATTTTAGGCCGGGCATGGTGGCTCATGCCTATAATCCCAGAACTTCAGGAGGCCAAGGCGGGTGGATCATGAAGTCACAAGTTCGAGACCAGTCTGGCCAATATGGTGTAACCCCGTCTCTACTAAAAATACAAAAATTAGCTGGGCATGGTGGTGCACACCTGTAGTCCCAGCTACTTGGGAGGCTGAGGCAGGACAATCTGGGAGGCGGAGGTTGCAGTAAGCCAAGATCACGCTACTGCACTCCAGCCTGAGCAACAGAGTGAGACTCCGTCTGAAAAAAATATATATGTTTTAATCAAGTTTAATTCATTCTCAATGTTTTGCTTTTGAACCTTTGCCCTTTCAAATAATCACACAGAAATAATTTCTTGCCATTGTATTCCTAACGATGTCTACCTATATAATGCACTTACCACTCTTGACTATTTTTTATTACTCAGTTTGCAAATTTATGTCATTTTCTACTGTGTATACTACAGTGCAGTCAGTCCCATGGGTTTGTTAGACACACCATTAGTGCCTAAGCCGAGAGCACTTAGACTGTATGAGGTTGCGCGTCTCAAGTACTAGATGCAGGAAGTCAATGGGATTTTACAGGAAATAATAACTTTTATAACTTTCATGGGAGAAAGTAATATTTATGGTTTGTGACTTTTGGTAAGTACACAGTAAAATTGCAGCTGACAAGGTTGAACATTTAAAATAGGCATGCTCCGTAGTACCCTGGAAGTATTTTAACATAATACTTTTTTATCATAATTAATGTGCAAGTGAAGTAGTGCCTTTTAATGCTTTAGTCATTTGACTTCATTGACATTCCAATACAATCCAGCACATGCCTGCCTCATTAAAATTTGCTTTGAGTATATAATTACTACAGATTGGGTGGAATTTGAATAGATTAATTAACCTTTTTGCAAAAGTGTGTGTTCATTACATTTAAGGAACAAGTGCACAGGTAACAGATGATACTGCTGTTAGAAGCCTGTCACAATACTGTGACATCTTTGAGAACCTAATTTTTAAGTAACTTAATAAAACAAGCCCTCCTTTGCTCTGGCAATCTAATTCTAGCCCTGAGATTACCTTAGTGAGTTGACAGAAGTTGGCAGTGTAAACCTCAGCCTAAGTAGCTGTAACTGAACTATCTAAAGAAGTCTGCATGTGTGACTTATTAAGTGGTGATTGTTAAAACATTGGAACCATTTTAAAAATGATACCTCTTTTCTGTTTGACATTCTTAGGCTTTTTCAAGGATGGGAAATGATGGAGATGTATATAGTGCTGCCAAGAACAGGTCTTTGAGTGCTGATGATTTAATTAATCTTCAGCGCGCTAAGGCCATCCTCTCCTGAAGGAAGAAATGAGGGGTAATGTAACATCTGAACCCCTCATCAAAAAAGACAGGAAAATACCACCTTTCCTGCTACAGGACTAGAAAATGTAATGTTTTCAAAAGAAGAAACATCTCAATTCAAGTTAACTCAAAGACAACTAAGTTCTTGTCAGGGCAACAAAACACTCTTACACTCTGTTGTCCTTTTTAACATAAACACAGAAACAGACACCACTCCAAAGTGAAGGCTCCTTCTGCCTATGCACAGAGACTTCCTTAGTGTGTGGGCTGATAGCTGTGAATCATGTAAGGCTTTTAAAACAATAAAAACTTTTTAAATTTTAAAGATAACATTTCTATTTATTTCATTTTTTTTCTCCCAATATTGCTGCACATGCATTTGGAATCAATGCAGTATTACTATTAAAACATGGGACTCAGCTGGGTGTGGTGGCTCAAGCCTGTAATCCCAGCACTTTGGGAGGCTGAGATGGGTGGATCACGAGGTCAAGAGATCAAGACTATCCTGGCCAGCATGGTGAAATGTTGTCTGTACTAAAAATATAAAAATTAGCTGGGTGTAGCGGCAAATGCCTGTAGTCCTAGCTACTCAGGAGGCTGAGGCAGGAGAATCACTTAAACCAGGAAGGCAGAGGTTGCAGTGATTCAAGATCATACCACTTCATTTCAGCCTGGACAGAGGGAGACTTTCTCTGAAAAAAAACAAAAAACAAACAAACACAAAAAACAGTGTGGGACTCTAACAACTCCTAAAGCCAGTAGAAGCAGATGCAGCATTGTCAGGGATTGAAGGGCTCTGCCTTCCTATTCTTACTTGATATGTCTTAAAGCATTTTTGTAAGTTGCCTTGACGATTCACAAGTTGATTTAATTCATGCCTGTGTTTAACATATAATATTTGTTTTTGTTTGCTTAAGCTCTTTTCAATTTTAAGATAATTTTTTACACTTAAAATCACTCTCTGGCCACAATACTTAGTAGCATAGTGCATTAGATGGCATCTTTGAATGGTTGATTATTGTGTCTGAGAGGAAAAACACATTAGAATATAAAATTAAATATACCAAAGAGAAAGGATTTCCATGAATACTGTAGAATTAGAACAAGGGTGTTGGAGATTTTCAAACAATTAAAAAGAAAAAAAAATGTAAGTACAGAAAGTAGAATTAAAGTTTCTATACAGAGGGTGACTTAAGCTTACATTTTAGTTAAAAATAATTCACTGAGTTTTTTTAGGACTAAGAATCTAGCCACTCAGTTTCAGTGATTCTCACTAAATCCTGATAATATTGGTATATTTTTATCCATTTTAATTTTTTCATTTTTTAAAAATTCCTTAGAATTTAAGGTAAAATCTTCAACTTAACATCTTATCTTGATAAACTGCAGACTATAATCAATGATCTGTTGTAACTTAGAAGAAAAAGTCAATGATGAATCCTTATTTATAAGATGGTTTGCACCTTATTAGTATGACATTAACTAGAAGTTGTGACATATATGAGTGGTCAAATGTTTAAGAACCAGTTTGGCAAAGGGACATTGGACATAAATCCCTGACTTCAAGAGTAAGGGCTGGGTGCAGTGGCTCATGCCTGTAATCCCAGCACTTTGAGAGGCTGAAGTGGGCAGATCACTTGAACCCAGCAGTTCAAGACAAGCCTGGCCAACATGGCAAAACCTCTTCTCTACTAAAAACACAAAAATTAGCTGAGCATGGTGGCAGTTGCTTATGGTCCTAGCTCCTTGGGAGACTGAGGCATGAGAATCACTTGAGCTTGGGAAGCAGAGGTTGCAGTGAGGCATGATCATGCCTGCACTCCAGCCTAGGTGACAAAAATAGAGTAAATCAATAGAATGGAGACCAGTAACATCGTTCTTTCCTTTGGCTTGAATTCCAGAGGGCAATATAGTCATTTCGATAAATGAAAAATCGGGTCAAGTTAGAATAAGAATATAAGTGTCACTGAAAGTGGGTAGGTTCTCTGACAACTGTTATGGGGCATGGAAATTAAGTTGGTAGTAGGTGGTAACTATGGCAGTTTTCATAGAGTTTGATACCTGGGAAAGATTAGATCTCTAACATAAGACTATGAAAAAGATTGACTACCAAAGCTCAAATTTACTTTCATTTTTAGGATTATCTTAACATTTGTAATGCAGACACCAGTGAAATTTTAACTCTCGTATAGTGTGAACTAAAATGTTTACATCTTCATTACAAAGAAAAGACAAAGATCTGAAATATGTATTTGAAGCAAGTGAAATGGCCATTTTTGTAGCATAAAAGCAGTTGCCTATTGTCAGTTCTATATAGTTTATTCTGAGATGAACTATGTAATGTTAAAGCTCAAAGTTTCTAGAGAAATTTTATCTTGGTATTTTATTCACATGTTCTCTTTATGTAACCTAGATGCCCATACATTACTGAAATCCAGCAACACTAAGTCTGATTTTATTACAGCTCAAGGTTTATTTTTTTATGTAGTTTTCTTACATTTCTAAATACACTATTCCTTGGTTTTAAAAAACATGCCAAAGCCAATCTTAACCAAAACCCAAATTACTCTTGATTCTGTATTTAGGTTACGCAGTGTTTCTGGAAACACTTTGCTGCAGTGTGCAGATTTGCTAGAATCTTTCATCACCCAGCCCTTTTCCTAAAACATTTAAGATTTCTGTGGCTTCATTTTTTCATCACACAGCATCCTTGAGTATGGAACTACTTGGAAAATCCTTTGACAGCTGGCAGAAAACTCTCCCAGGTAAGTGCTAGTTTCTATGCAAATTTGTAGAAAACACCCAGAATCTATCAATTTAAGGATTAGATGACCTTAAGTTTAATGGCCAGACACTTATTTACCTGGTTGGGCCCAACATTGTGCCAGCGAGCAATGCAAAAGATCTAGGACGCCTTCAGTGAAGCCTGCCTCCTAGGACACAGGTTGCCAAGGCAATTTCCTTCTTTCTTTTCTCTTCTCTTCTTTTCTTTTCTTTTTTCTTTTCTTTCTTTCTTTCTTTCTTTCTTTCTTTCTTTCTTTCTTTCTTTCTTTCTTTCTTTCTTTCTCTTTCTTTCTTTCTTTCTCTATTTATTTATTTCTCTTTCTTTCTTCCTTCTTTCTTTCTTTTTCCTTTCTTTCCTCTCTCTCTCTTTATTTGTTTTTATTGTACTTTAAGTTTTGGGGTACATGTGCAGAACTTGCAGGATTGTTACATATGTATACACATGCCACGGTGGTTTGCTGCATCCATCACCAGCATCACCTACATTAGGTATTTCTCCTTATGTTATCCCTCCCCAATCTCCCTACCCCCTGCCATCCCTCCCCTAGCTCGTGACCCACCATCATACCCCAGTGTGTGATGTTCCCCTCCCTGTGTCCATGTGTTCTCATTGTTCAATACCCATTTACGAGTGAGAATATGTGGTGTTTGGTTTTCTGCTCTTGTGTCAGTTTGCTGAGAATGATGGTTTCCAGCTTCATCCATGTCCCTGCAAAAGACACAGCTCCCCCTTTTCTATGGCTCCATAGTATTCCATGGTGTAAATGCGCCACATTTTCTTTATGCAGTCTATCATTGATGGGCATTTGGGTTGGTTCCAAGTCTTTGCTATTGTAAACAGTGCCATGACGAACATACATGTGCATGTGTCTTTATAACAGGATGATTTATAATCCTTTGGGTATATACTCAGTAATAGGATTGATGGGTCAAATGGAATTTCTATTTCTAGATCCTTGAGGAATTGCCACACTGCCTTCCACAATGGTTGAACTAATTTACACTCCCACCAACAGTGTAACAGCATTCCTGTTTCTCTACATCCTCTCCAGCAATTTCTGTTGAACTTTTTCAAACACATTTGACAAGTGACAGAGCATGTACTTAATGTGAAATTTAAAGAATATCAGCTTGTGGTTTAGGATTTCTAGGGTAAAGAACTAAGTGGGAAAGAAAATTAGTATAGACATTACAAGAATCTTGAGTCCAGTGAAAAATGGTTAACATTCTTTAAGAAGGAACAGGTTAGGTGACTCTTACAACTGCTGTAAGGAAGCTGAGCAATTCGGCTGTGATTAGGAAAACTCAGTGATAGTCCTAGAACCTAAGGTCTTTAGTAAAATATGGGTGCTATCTCCTTCAAAAAACCTCCATGGATTCCAAAAAGAGGCTGCTGGCTTCTTAAAAATATATATTGCTTTATCCTCACATTCTCAACTGTATGAACCTTTACCTGTCACCCGAGCTGGGGACTCCTGTGTCTCCTCAGTGTGACAACTGATCACAGCAGAGCTTCAAGTGCTTTATCCACCTCCCCTTCCAGCCCCTGCTTCACCCAAGACCCTTAGAACTCTCCTTAAACAAAATCTTCCCAGCCTCACCTTTACCTTTTCTGCTATTTTTCACTGTGGCAGTGCTTGATGTTTTTCATCGTGACCCACTGCCAAAGCATTAGCACCAGGTTCCAGAACATGCAGCTTGTATGTAGCTTGCAGGCTAATTGACCCCTTGTAATTCCCTTTATGTGATCCCTCTGTGTGTGTTCTCTGAAACACCTGTTCCCAATTTGCAGCACTTGCTGATTCTGACCTACTCACAGCCTTACTTATGTATTCTCAATCTAGCCTGAGGATGAGGTTGTACCCCTTCCTTCCAAAACCTATTTTTCCTGGCATTAATGCCTTGTTCTGAAGGTAACTCCCTCTCATCTAATGGAGAGGATTCCATCTTTAATTCTAAAATCAGTCTGCTACATTCATCTCCTCCACCAATTATCCTCTTCAAAATTGCATTTCACCTCCCCAACTTGGGAATGCAGCAATTTTGGTTCGGGCCTGTAAATGTCCCAGTGTTTTTGAAGATGTGATCCCCACCCACCTCCCTCTCATCAGCTAGAAGAGCTTGTGAAAAATGCAGCTTCTCTAAATGCAGTGTGGTATCCTGGATTTGATCCTGGGACAGATAAAGAGCGTGAGTGGAAAATCTGATGAAGTCTGGAGTTAGGAGTAATGTGCCAACACTGACTTTTTAGTTTTTACAAATGTACCATGTCGATACAAGATGTTCAT